TATATTTAATACATATAGTGAAGAACCAGTGTATATTTAATATATATATAGTGAAGAACCAGTGTATATTTAATATATATAATGAAGAACCAGTTTATATTTAATATATATAGTGAAGAACCAGTGTATATTTAACATATATAGTGAAGAACCAGTGTATATTTAACATATATAGTGAAGAACCAGTTTATATTTAATATATATAGTGAAGAACCAGTGTATATTTAACATATATAGTGAAGAACCAGTGTATATTTAATATATATAGTGAAGAACCAGTGTATATTTAATACATATAGTGAAGAACCAGTTTATATTTAATATATATAGTGAAGAACCAGTGTATATTTAATATATATAGTGAAGAACCAGTGTATATTTAACATATATAGTGAAGAACCAGTGTATATTTAATATATATAGTGAAGAACCAGTGTATATTTAATACATATAGTGAAGAACCAGTTTATATTTAATATATATAGTGAAGAACCAGTGTATATTTAATATATATAGTGAAGAACCAGTGTATATTTAACATATATAGTGAAGAACCAGTGTATATTTAACATATATAGTGAAGAACCAGTGTATATTTAATACATATAGTGAAGAACCAGTTTATATTTAACATATATAGTGAAGAACCAGTTTATATTTAATATATATAGTGAAGAACCAGTGTATATTTAATATATATAGTGAAGAACCAGTGTATATTTAACATATATAGTGAAGAACCAGTGTATATTTAATATATATAGTGAAGAACCAGTGTATATTTAATACATATAGTGAAGAACCAGTTTATATTTAATATATATAGTGAAGAACCAGTGTATATTTAATATATATAGTGAAGAACCAGTGTATATTTAACATATATAGTGAAGAACCAGTGTATATTTAACATATATAGTGAAGAACCAGTGTATATTTAATATATATAGTGAAGAACCAGTGTATATTTAACATATATAGTGAAGAACCAGTGTATATTTAACATATATAGTGAAGAACCAGTGTATATTTAACATATATAGTGAAGAACCAGTGTATATTTAACATATATAGTGAAGAACCAGTGTATATTTAATACATATAGTGAAGAACCAGTTTATATTTAACATATATAGTGAAGAACCAGTGTATATTTAACATATATAGTGAAGAACCAGTGTATATTTAATATATATAATGAAGAACCAGTGTATATTTAATACATATAGTGAAGAACCAGTTTATATTTAACATATATAGTGAAGAACCAGTGTATATTTAATATATATAATGAAGACCGCACTGCTGATTTTTCCATTTCTTAAATGAACGTAGCTGAAAAATTTAAAACACTGTTTATTTAATTTCTATCATATTTGTAACTTATAGTAAAATAAGTAAAATAAAGCTAAATAAAATGTTGACACACCCCTATTTTGTCCTAAATGGTCTGCCATTATTTTTACTTTTATGTTTTGTGAGTTTGTAAGGCAAATTTAAAATAGAGATATTAGTTTGGCTGTACTGCTCGGTGACTTTCAAAACAGTCTTCAACCAACATTTGAGATATGATCGTGGATTTGTGATCTTGTCCTATAAAAAATTTGTGATGTCACTCTGTGGGGAAATACATCATCACACTGATCGCACAGGTCCTCCATTAAAACAGAAATGGTAGAAACTGTAACATCACCACCACATATTCATCACAGTCCATTAGCAACATTACTGCACAACCTCATGAGTCTGCATCGTCTGCAAAGAGACACATCTCAAAAGCGAAAAACTACACCTAGATGAAAAATATAATATACATTTAATTTTCGATTCGTCTGGTCCATGCATTATGCAAGAGAGAAACTACATCGGTGACACGACTTTGCAGTTGCATAAAACCCATTTCTATGAACAAAACGCATCTGAAATCATCCGAGGACACAAAATGAGCCGCTGCAGGGGGAAATAAAGTGCTCTGCGCAAACTGTCTAAAGCACATTATATTAAATGCCTCAAAGAAGGTCACGAGAAAATAGTTTTAAGTGGTCGCTGTGCAAAGTGATTGCTTAAGATGTTGTAGCAAGTCCATACATTGCTTAAATGTTAACAGCAATCTAGCACACATGTATGTCATAGTTTGCATGCAGCACATGCACGGCAAACAAACCAATCGGTGAAAGTTTGGCTGGTTAACACGGTCCATTTAGATGCAGTAAGTAAACAATTCAGCAGGCAAAACTACAAAGTTGCATATAATATGCACATATTTCATTATAGTATAGTAGATGGATGTGCTTGTTCTCTTTGAGAGGCTCTCAAAGACATTAAATTCCACCAAAATTTTGAACAAAACGCTATCCATTGATGTCAAATTGTATTATTTTTGACCCCCGGCAAACATAGACATTAATCGGCACAACGTAAATAAAAAGATAATCAACATGTTCACTGATTAATAAACTAGTTCATCAATTGTGACATACACATTTTACATAAGACGCCGTCAGCGCTGTAGATCAGGCAGAGGTCGTGACCCTGCACCTGTGATTCGGCTCCAGCACACCTGTGGTTTCATTAGGGATCCAGCGAATGAGCCGCCCACTGTGTGAAACCATCTATACATGCAAGAAGCTTAAAGATGCGGATTCGTTGCTTCTGTGGGAGGATTCTGTCCACTGACCGACAGTGACAGTTTTTAAACTAATCAACAATCAATGCTGGAATGAGTCAAATCAACATGGACTGGTTTTGGTTGATGCGGGCACTGTAAATACGTATGCATCAGTCCTGAAACACGAGCTTCAGCCAACGTTCTCTCAGCATACAGCTCATTTTCAAACAGAAAATTGAATTATGGGGTGGGTGTAACAGATCTAGGTTAGAGTCAAAGAACTGTTTTTCACTAAATGAACGTATTGAATAGAGCCCGACCGATAAAGGATTTTGAAGGCCGATACCGATACAAATATTTTTGGGTTTTAAAATCCGATATTCCGATATATCGGCCGATATTTTTTTTTATTAAATATTGTTGGATTTCACACACGTGTAAAAGAAAAGCTAACTTTTCTGCACAAGATACGTCTGATACTTTTTCTCTCTGTCTAAATGTTCACTCCTCGCAAGTCTAACTTACATTTTACAATGCAGGGACTGTAACTACAGATATGCTAGTTATAAATACAGTAATCGTTACTTTATTTAGGCAGAAAAGGTTTGTTGTGGTTTCCAAGCTCATTACTGTTAACGTTAGCGTTCTTCCACTGATGATAGTGGCATTAGCTAGCTTTGTGGTTAGCTAGTCTATGATGATGAGCCATAATTTAGCAATAGATAACATCATACTGCAAATTGTAAAACATACATTTTCAATATAACAGGCCGAGGAGAGATGATTGAAGCGTGTTTCGTCCATTTTTATTTTTATTTTTTAAATATTATCGGCCATTATAACTGACGATATTGATATTATGGAAAATGCCTAATATCGGCCGGCCGATATATCGGTCTGAAGATTGATCTTTCATAATGTTTATTTATATGCACCAATATAATAAAACAGCAGCATTACTTAAACATTATAATACACAAAAAATGCCACACAGAGTGAATGAAGGAGGCCGATCCAAATCCGATATTGTGCGTATGCTATTCTGTGTTATTGTTAAGTCACACAAAAGGCACAAAACATTATAAAGCACCCATAACATTTGCGTGCACTATAATATAAGTGTTCTGAAGCCATTATATAGAAATTAACATTTAAGTCATTAAATTCAAAACCCTTCCCTTCGGTTGTCAGTCATTCTCCATTCAGCGTTCAAACAGCGCGAAAGTCAACACGATGAAACTCTCTCCCAAGATGATTCAATGTTACTATTATTTTACTTGACCTGTAGATAAAAGTCTATGGTTTTGCATAAAACAACTTTATCTTGCTGTACCTTAATCATGTTACTTTCTACCGAGAGATCACAACAGAGTAGAGTCAGAGCACTATAATTGTCATTCACATGCACATTAACTTAAATTTAAAAATGTTAAAAGAAAATCGGATCGGTCGATACTCAAAACTTATGGTATTGGATCGAATCAATTCTGAAAAAAAAAAAATGGTAACGGTGCATCCCTACAAATTAATAATTGAATCAGAGTTCAGATGGAATCAATTCATTAATATGGGACATTATGAACTGATTCACTGCAATGAATCAATATACTATATATAATAATATAATAAATCCAAAACATGCAAAAAGAACTATAAAAGGGAGTGGAAATGGCAAATAAGCTAATATGAGTGATCCTCTGCAGCCATCTACTGGTTATAGTGGTAATTTCATGTTAAAAGTGTTTGTTTTCCACCAGGTGACAATATCCTCCAATGAAAAAAATGATAAATGTAGAGATAATATAACTGCACAAATGTAGAGTTATTATCTCTTTATAAGGGAAAGAGAAAAAATTATCAAACTTACGAAATCAAACACTGCTTTTTAGTTTAAATGAGAAACCATTAAAACACTCTCATGCTCACGAGTCACAAGACAATTAAGAATTGTGAAATTAGTCTAAAAAAGATCATTCAATTTATTATGATATTGTAACGGTCACCAGCTGGAGTGCCCTTAAAGGCCACCAGAGGGCACTCACAAACTACATCTCCCATAATTCTCTGCCTGGACACATTAGCACTCATTGTTTTCACAGGTGTCTCATCTTCTTGTATAAGCCTGGTTCTTTCTGTCATTCCCTGCAAAGTCTTGTTTAGTGTCTTACTGCGATTGCAAGCATTCTCCTGGTTTTCTTGGTTTCCTCTGTTTCTGCCTGTGCCCCTTTGACCCTGTTATTGTTTGGACTGATTACCCGCTGTTTATGACCTTCGACCTTCGTGTCTCGGAGCAGTTCGTGACAGATTTTCACAAACATGTCATGACTATTCAGTCCAAGTTATGATGGAGTTATGATGCTTATGTGAGCAAAGCCAGTTTGTGTGTGCGTACCTTTGCAGCCAGACGTCTGACGGCCTCCTCGCGGCGCCGCTGGAGCTCAGGTGTGCTGGGACAGCTGCTGGTGCGCAGGGTGTTGGTGGCGCTGGGCGGGGGGGTCGGCTGAGGCGGTTGACTCAGAGGCAGATCTGAACTCGGCTCCCCACCTGGACAATATCCACATGAGCACAAACATCACCAGCTGTTGTTATTCTACTAAGACTAGGAGTCAAACATCAATACACAAACTACTCGACTCAAGACACAAATACCATCATTTACTGTTTATTGCATGTAGCCCTCAAAACGTATTCACTTTATAGCCCTTAATCCTGTAATTGTGGACAAATGTGGGCACAGAGGACTCAGGTGTGATCCTAATTTTTATTTATTATAAATGTTATATCAATGTCTTCGATAAAGTTTTGTCCATCCATTTATGTTTGTTTTTTTATTTATTTTGGGGCTATTTTTGAATTTATTTACTTCAAAAAGTACCATATTTTCTATGTAAATTATGCTTATTTTTATGTTTTTTATTTTTTTAACTACATTAAAATATCATTCCAATAAGTTCTTAGAGCTAAAACCTAAAGATGAAGTGACTTTGCTGTTATTTTGGCTTATTTTAGAATGCCCTAAATTATAGTTTTTCCCATTCATTTCTATGGGTGCTCAAATTGACCCAAATACAAGATTAAGGAGTGTTTTTTTTCACCCACTTAACATTTTAGAATTGAGTCTAAAAAAAAATGTGTGTTCAGGAGGCAAACTTAGGAAAAGTAGCCAAGTCTTGTACCGCTCAGATCAAGGGAAGTATTTTTTAAAAAATAAATCAAAACTATTTTGCCCACATTTGTCCAGAATACAGTTTTAAATTGTCTGTGTAAAAGCACATATGGTGCTTGTATCATGTCGTAGATTACATGCCTCACAGAAAAATCGTGTTTATAGAATTGTTATGATTGTTTAGTTAATATGGAAGTAGACTAACTTTCAATGGGCAATAATATTTTTTTTTAGGAAATTAATATTTTATTCCGCAAGGGCACATTAAATTGATCCAAAAGTACAGTTAAGACATTTATAGTGTTACAAAAGATTTCTAAATAAAAAAAAAATCTGTTCTTTTGAACTTTCTATACATGAATGAATCCAGAAAAAATTATCACGGTTTCTACAAAATATTAAGTAGCACAATATTTATGTTTACTTTTCAACATTGATAATAATAACCTTGAGCAGCAAATCAGCATATGAGAATGATTTCTGAAGGATAATGTGACACTAATGATGTTGAAAATTCAGCATTGATCACAGGAATAGATTACATTTCAAAATATATTCACATAGAAAACAGTTATTTTAAATCGTAATAATATTTCACAATATTACTGTTTTGCTGATCTTCTTTCGAAAACATTAAAAAAAACATCTTACCAACCCCAAACATTTCAAATTCATAGTTTAAAGGTAGTGAATGCATAAGGCGGCTGAAAATGTGTTCATAAAACCATTCTTATGTAAATTGTCTCATTTAATTCAATACAACAATTTTGTCTTTCTGCTCTGTGAAACAGTGTTCAGGACTCACTTTTCGGAGATGCGCTCGGGCTGTTGGATGCGATCTGTCGCATGCGGCCGCCATGGCAACTGAGGGCCACCAGGCGGGAGATGATGGCGGTTTTGCCGAATCCCACGTTGCCCATAAGGATGGACCCGGAGCTCTCGCCTGATTCGCTGGGCCTCAGGTCATCCTCGAGCTGCTGGAACAGCCAATCGCGGCCCACGAACACTGAGTCAGTGGTGATGCTGGGAACCTCGAACAGCAGTGGCTTGAGCATGATGTCAGTGGGCTTGTACGGAGCAAAGCGAGCTGCAAAACACACAACACGGGTTTAATATGCAAACAAATTAGCCAATCATGGGTTGCATGTTAAATGTATGTGCTGTTTCTTAGTTTAGGCTCGTCCTATGCTAGACCGCCATTAGAAGGAAGGATAACAATTCATATAAAAGCTATTTTCCTGCAGCTAATGTTAAATTACCCTCAATGTCACCCCTGAGTGATTTTTTTATTGTGTATGATACAAAATATATAAGAACACAAATATAGCACTGTGACATTATATTATGAACTTTCATCACTTTTAGTAGCTGTTTGTGTGAATATGAATGGGATCCGCTCAGCCAGTGGCAGTAAACTGTGTGTGTCACTGATGTGATGACACTAGTGTCATGTATGAACATTTATAATAGTGTTTCTCAATCATTAGGGCAGCTTTAACATAAAATAAAGATGTCAAGTGCTTGGTAAGGCTGTTTGAGTTGCTAGCAAAGCTCTCTGAGTAAGCGAGAACATCAATTCGGATGACGACGTGAATGTGATCTTTCTTTTTTTCGGATTTGTTGAAACCGCATAAATGTTAATTGTTTCATAACTTGAGAAATCCGTGTTTTTGAACGAATCTTTTGAATGAATGATTCAATGACAAATGCATTTTTGACAGTCACTCGCGTCACCATCTAGTGGTGTAACGATGTATTTGATACAATCGTTATTTGAAGTAGAGCCCGACCGATAAAGGATTTTAAAGGCCGATACCGATACAAATATTTTTTGGTTTTAAAATCCGATATTCCGATATATCGGCCGATATTTTTTTTTTTTTTTTTCAGAAACGTGCAACAAAACATTAACAGATTTCCCTAGCATTAGTTATTTGTAGTTATTTATGAGTTTCAACTAAAATAATATAATGCATTTTAAAAAGAAACTTGTTTCTTTTATTGTCACAACAGAACAGTCTGATGATAGTGGCATTAGCTAGCTTTGTGGTTAGCTAGTCTATGATGAGTCATAGTTTAGCAATGGATTTTTATACTGCAAATTGTAAAACATACATTTTCAATATAACAGGCCAAGGAGAGATGATACGTCTCATTGCTATGACTGTCACGCGCTATTAAAGACTTCAGTCACATTGTCAAAAGTTAAAAGGACAGTCAGTCAACTACACTGTAACAACGTAACGTAACTATTACTAGCTAATTCCGCTTCACTCTCGGCTTATTTAACAGCAAAACTGGACATGATAGTCACAAATTTTGTCATGCTTATTTGAGTTAAGAGAACTGATGGGGATGTTCTTTTAATTGTTATTCAAGCAATGTATGTCTCGTGACCAACTCAACGAGTGTTGCCAACAGGGACGGTGTAGAGTGCCCTCTGGTGGACAAACTATACAACTCCAACACTCACGACATGGTTTAAGCGTGTTTCGTCCGTTTTTTGTTTTATTTTTGAAATATTCATTTATCGGCCATTATAACTGCCGATACCGATAGTTTGGAAAATGCCTAATATCGGCCGATAATATCGGTCTGGCTCTAATTTTAAGCATCAAGTTACTTTTAAAAGGTAATTTACTCTATTTTGAACGCTACAGAAGATATTAAAAAATTTCACTGGGTAAGCAGCAGCACGAACGCAGATTTGAATGTTTGCTGTGATCGTATTCGTCTAAGGTTCGAATCGTTGTCATTTTAGGGAGAAGACTCTTGAATCTTGGTGAGTGAATCGAGATCACAATCTAATGATTAATCGTGCAGCTGGTCATGCTTAAATAATAAAATACTGACATGTACAAAGAGTGATATTTAATACACAGACTTTATGTAAGCATGTCAGCACTACATATCAAATGAAAAGACCTGCACGAAAACAGTCTCAACCCTCACACACATGACACTGTACATGGCCTGTAGAAACTGGACTAAAGATCACTCGAGGTGAATCCTGCACCGATCGGGGCTGATTGAATCAAACCTTGAATATCTCAAATTATTCATTTGAACAACAAGGTCATAATTGCAATTCAACACTGACACACTGCAGAACACACGTTAGCTCGACCCTTGGGTTACACAAGCGTTTATATAAGAGAAAGAGACTGACTGAGAGGAAAAACACATGTATTTAACGATGTTCTCTTGCATTATTAATGGACTTAACTATTTAAAACACTTCTTTCCTCACAGGAAGTGTATGGAGAGCGTTTCCTTATTCACATCCAAATCCTGAGTGGGTAAACAGATCCATACGGAAATGTCTCAATCTAAACATTATAAGTTTTTCAAAAGAGCACCCAACTGTTTCAGATTGTACAAGGGTGAATATCTCCAATCCGATCAAGAACATGTTTGGGTCAAATTTGATTTAACACTTATCACAATGAATACATAAATAAATAAGTACACACCGTCCTGCGATATTTATTGGACGATTTTTGATCGGTTAAAGCCATCATCAAATGGACCATAGCATGAAAAAGGTAGATAACAATGCTTTTGATTAATTAACTGCGGGAAGGCACTGAGTTGTGTAATGCACAGAAGATATTATGTTTATATTAAGTATATTACATTATGATTTTTAACAATGTTGTTCAATAAAAACGTATAATTACGTTCTTTTGATACTTTATTTGAACCAATTATTATTACCTCATTGTTATTATATATGTATTTTTAAGTCATTTTAAAGGCTATTGTTTGCTTGGGTCTATTTTTATTACCACACATTTTTAACGATTAATCGATTATTCGTCAAAATAATCGACCAATTACTCAATCCAAGTAATCGTCAGTGACAGTCCTACTAGCTAGTATACCTCAAATCCATGCGTTTTTGAACTGCTAATTTAAAACATGATCAAATCTAAATTTTATTTACAAAAGTCATATGCTATGCTTTTTTCGGTAACACTTTATAATAAGGTTTCAATTATTAACATTAGATAATGTTTTAACTAACATTGGTGAACCAATTGGCAATACATTTTAGAGGCAGGCCGATATTATCGGCTGATATTAGGCATTTTCCAAACTATCGGTATCGGCAGTTATAATGGCAACAATAAAATAAAAACGGACGAAACACGCTTGAACCATGTCGTGAGTGTTGGAGTTGTATGGTTTGTCCACCAGAGGGCACTCTACACCATTCCTGTTGGCAACACTCATTGAGTTGGTCACGATACATACATTCCTTGAATAACAATTAAAAGAAAATCCCCATCAGTTCTCTTAACTCAAATAAGCAGGACAAATTTGTGACTATCATGTCCAGTTTTGCTGTTAAATAAGCCGAGAGTGAAGCGGAATTAGCTAGTAAGAGTTACGTTACGTTGCTACAGTGTAGTTGACTGACTGTCCTTTTAACTTTTGACAATGTGACTGAAGTATTTCTTTAATAGCGCGTGACAGTTATAGCAATGAGACGCATCATCTCTCCTCGGCCTGTTATATTGAAAATGTATGTTTTACAATTTGCAGTATGACGTTATCCATTGCTAAATTATGGCTCATCATAGACTAGCTAACCACAAAGCTAGCTAATGCCACTATCATCAGTCTGTTCTGTTGTGACAATAAAAGAAACAAGTTTGCATTATCATATTATTTTAGTTAAAACTCATAAATAACTACAAATAACTAATGTTAGGGAAATCCGTTAATTTTTTGTTACCCGTTTCGGAATAAAAAAATAAAAAATATCGGCCGATATATCGGAATATCGGATTTTAAAACCAACAAATATTTGTATCGGCCTTCAAAATTCTTTGTTTCTGTATTTGTTAATATTTATTAATTGTTCATTGTAGTTCATTGTTATTTCACAGTGCATTAACTAATGTTAACAAATACAACATTTAGATTTTAATAATGTATTAGTAAATGTAAAAAATATTAACAAATGCTGTAGAAGTGCAGTTCATTATTAGGTAAAGTGTTACCCTTTTTTCTGTTGATTTTGGGGTGAAAACCTTCACAAGTTTCATGGCATTCTTAAAGAAATAAAGAGAAAAACCGAGCACACATGATGGGATTGTGACTGTACCTTTGTCGTGTGTAGCTCTGCCCCCGGTGTTGTGCCAGGGCAGGCGGATGGACGTGCGCAGGGGGGTGTTTCGCTGTTCATCAAGATAGCTCAGATCCTCCAGCTTAGTGGAGCTTGTTGCTGAAAAAGGAAAATCACAACAGTTTTAAAAAGCTTTTTACTCCATCCAACATTAAGCACATAGATAATAACTTCCAAAAATCAGCTTATTGAATTAACCTGTTGTCCCGGTTTACATGCAATCCAATATCCCGGCAATGCAAGACTTTATTCGTAAATCAGGTTTCCACCGTAGTGACATCAAAACCTAACCATTCGTGGATCTGTCTCTGAGTATTTCATATGTCATGTCAGTCGTGATGTTAAAGGAGAACTCCGGCATAAAATGAACCTTTGGTCGAATAACACATCGGTACATAGTCAATCGTTCTCTGAGATTTGTTTTCATGATAATCGAATGTAAAGAGTTTTATCTCTAAAAACTGTTTAGCCTATAACGTTAGTAATGGAGGCATTTACTAAGTATAAAGAAATCGCTAGTTTATACCACTAACAAGTCTCAAAATATCCCAACACTAACGCAGTAACATAATGAGGGTCCGTACATGCAAAACGAAGCATTGAGAACTTTCTAAGTGTACAGACCATTTAATAAGAAGATACTTTATAAAGACAGTCCACTTCGCAAATACAGACAGGAGCCTCGATAAGTCAAACCACGAACATCGTGCTGAGTGAACTTCTGAACTCTATGAACGTCGTTCGGGGATCGACTTATCGAGACTTATCTTTTTATTAAACGGTCTGTCGGTCACTTACAAAGTTCTCAATGCTTCGTTTTGCATGTACGGACCCTCATTATGTTGCTGTGTTAGTGTGGGGCTATTTTGAGCTGTTAGTGGTATAAACTAGCAATTTCTTTTTACTTATTAAATGCCCCCATTACTAGCATTATACGCTAAACAGTTTTTAAAGATAAAACTCTTTACATTCGATTATCATGAAAACAAATCTCAGAGAACGATTGACTAGGTACCGATGTTTAATTAGACCAAAGGTTCATTTTGCGCCGGAGTAGAGTATTCCACAATGTCAGATGGAGACTCTTAGATGATAACACATTTCGATCATTTCTTGAGTCGGGAGTTTGCGATTTATTTCCTCCCCGCTAACAGTGAAACACTCGCTCTGTCTGGATGCACTTTTTAATCCGCAGTAAGGACACTTTCCTGTCACGTATCACTCATGAGCTCTTCAATAAGCAGACGGTAGACGGGTTCATGTGTTTACAGATCAGGGAGATGGGCAATAGCTGTGTTGATCAGTTTATACTTAAGCCGTTACTCTGATAAAGGAAAACGGGTAAATGCATTTACATGAACCCGTGCATTGTCGGCTTATTAAGAATAATCAGGTTAAGAACACGCTCACGACAAAAAGAGCATGGATATGAAAACGAGGCTGGGTTAAAGGTCGCTGACCGCAGCATTGGCATTGACCTGTCTGACATAAACGAGGAACCGTGCAGAGAGAAAGATGACATCATCCTGAATGCAAATCACGAGCGGCGACTATAATAAACATTGTAAAGAGTGAATGGGCGAACAGAACCAGGTCACTGAGCAAACACACACAATCAGACATTTCATAAGAAAAAGAGAGATGACTCAACTTATTTCTACAATGCAAAAGTTAAAGTCGTTCAAGCTGTTTCGGTGTACGGCCTCTGATGTGCATCCATGCATCAGCAACCTGTTTGCTCTGAAACTACTTTCCCTGGAAGCTCTCGGTACTCACAGACTCGTTCCTCGGGCACAGGCAGACGCAGCGCCGCAAACCTGTTTCTCTCTCTCTCTCCTCAGGACACCTCCATGTTCACACACACCGCATTCAACTGGTGAACAGCTTCACTGCATCGCTCAGCGCATCCACAAAGCATCAGAGAAAAATCCCTGCCGCAGCTCTTCGCCCCGCAATCCAAATGAAAACAGGAGAGGGATACAGAAGAGGTCTCTCTCTCTCTCTCTCTCTCTCTCTCCTACAGAGCGGCTGATTACAGTTTGAAGCGGGCAGCCGAGGGAGAAATAATCTATGATCCTACCGAGGAAAGAAAAAAACATGCGAAGAACTGAATGAAGAGAGGAGGGAGCAGTCATTGAGGAGGGAGGTGGGATACTGGAGGTGTGGAGTGAGGGAAATCAGCTGCGCCCCTTTCAGCTTTAAAGAGCCTCGCTCAGAAAAAAATGATTCTGTGGTCAATAGTGCAGAAAAACAAATCTGAAATGAAAACTTACAACTGAATAAACAAGTTCAGGCAAGATTTTGAGGAAAAAAGGTCTCGATTTAAGCTTGTAGAAATTAAAGTGTAAATATCAACATTATTAATTTAAGTTAAACCCACTCTACTTTCTGATTCCCCCATCTTGCACTTCATTTTTACACTGTTTTATCATTGCGTTTGTGGTTAGGTTTAGTAATTTAATGTTTTGTGACATGTGTTGTTCACAAATAACACACTCATACTGAAAAATTGTCCATTGTGTCTAAACATGTCTTCATCTGACAACGCAGTGAGTCGCTATTTCAACTGGCATTTCTTTGCAATTATTTGTGAAAGGCACTAGCAATTTCTGAGTAAATCCTACACCACAGTTTTTGAGTGAAGTTTAAAGGGAAGAAGATGATTGTCACGGTGTTCTCAGAGGTTGCTAGGCAGTTGCTTGAGTGTTGCTAGGGTGTTAGAGAACGGGGTTGGTAGAGAATCGTTAGGCAGGCACTAAGATGTAACGGCGTTCTGGCTGGTACTGTATATGGTGAATAATGGGCTCATGAATATTAATTATCTCACATTGCTAGGTAATGTCCCTAGACTGTCCAGTCATGTCACCTAATTGAAATTCATGAGTCAGAGGTTTACAACGTACGGTTCATAAACCGATCCTATGCAGATGAGGTGTATAGCCTTGCATGTTCTTCACTGTTTTGGCATTGAGATGCTATATTAAGGCCTACATCTGAGCATATTCTCCAATTACCATTTTAATATTAATATATATAGAAATACATTAAATCTAGATTATGTGATGAAAGAAATATGTATTCATCTATCAAGATAGATGATGGGTGGATTAACAGACAAACTACGGATGGATGGATGGACAAACTACGGATGGATGGATTGATGGATGAACGGACAAACTACGGATGGATGGATTGATGGATGAATGGACAAACTACGGATGGATGGATGGATGGAAAATTACGGATGGATGGACGGATGGATGAATGAATGGACGGACGGATGGATGGATGGACGGATGGACGGACAAACTATGGATGGATGGATGGACAAACTACGGATGGATGGATGGATTGATGGATGAACGGACAAAGTACAGATGGATGGATGGATGGATTGATGGATGAACGGACAAACTACGGATGGATGGATTGATGGATGAATGGACAAACTACGGATGGATGGATGGATGGATGGATGGATGGAAGGATGAACGGACAAATGGACAAAGTACGGATGGATGGATGGATGGAAAATTACGGATGGATGGATGGACGGATGGATGAATGAATGGACGGACGGATGGATGGATGGACGGATGGACGGACAAACTATGGATGGATGGACGGACAAACTACGGATGGATGGATGGATGAACGGACAAACTACGGATGGATGGATGAACGGACAACCTACGGATGGATGGATGGACGGACAAACTACGGATGGATGGACGGATGGGTGGATGGATAAATGGACAAACTACGGATGGATGGATGGATGGATGGATGGATGGATGGACAAATTACAGATGGATGGACGGATGGATGAACGGACGGACGGACGGATGGATGGACAGACAAACTACGGATGGATGGATGGATGAACGGACAAACTACGGATGGATGGATTGATGGATGAACGGACAAACTACGGATGGATTGATGGATGGATGGACGGAAAAACTATGGATGGATGGACGGATGGGTGGATGGATAAATGGACAAACTACGGATGGATGGATGGACAAATTAAGGATGGATGGATGGATGGATGGACGGACGGATGGATTTTTAAATCTTCAAAGTTGACAAGATAACTTTACCATTTAGTAGGTAAAAAGTTTACTTTTACATAGTTTATGAAAATCACAGTTAAATGAGTTTCTCTGACTTTCAATTCAATGTTAATGTACTTCCATACATTCAAATTCAAAGGTGAGAACCTTAAATGTAAATTTAAGGTGAGCACAATCCTTATGGAAAAGCACCTTTACCTGTTTGAAATAATATCAGGTGCTAAAACTACAGCAAAGTGTAGCAGAAATGTGCTTTTACCATGAGTCAAGAGAGTTACAGTAGACTAGTACATGTTTTAATATCTGCTGACAGGGACGTGGGCGAAAAAACGAAGCTCCCTCTGCTACGGCATTTCATTTACACAGAACCAAAGCCTAATTCTTAAACTAACTTAAAACTTCATCACTATTCTTTCACTCCCGCACAAGCCCTGCTGTTGCCTTTAGAAATGTAAATCTAGTTTACCTCCACATATCTGATGCACAGAACAGGAGACTGCATATGGATAACCCATCTTTGTTTCAAACCTGAACGTCTCTGCATCTGCATGTGTGTGTTTGTGACCTTGGGCTCCTATAAAAATAGCTGATAAACAGTGAATCGTTCCACAGTGGCAGAACTAAACCTCACTGAGAGAGAAATCTAATCAGACCAGCTTTAGTAGGGGACTGGCCCGTGACCAGCTCCCCAGATTACACCCTATTCCCCTGCAGACAGGCCAGTAATCTGCTGTACCCTTGTTTACTGAAAGGAGCCCATTGATGAATATGCATATCCCAGATGATGTCATCACTTGAATAATCATCAGGTCAAACAAGTGGGCCTTTAGAGCCGGGTGCTGTTCATGCATCTCGGAGTGATGTTAATTAACACGCTCGATTCATGTTCATAAGTCGAGTCTGTTGTGACAGAGGGTCAGACGCTCCTTCACTGCACCATCGGGGATGAGGCTAATCGATCTTAATAACAACACCACTAAGTCAGGACTCGCTTTTGTTACAGCATTAATGAGTGATGTTAAC